TTGTTCTCAGTAACTAAGCTAAGCTTTAGTTCAGTTCACAGTTAGATGCAGCAAAGCTAATGAACTTAAATGAAAGTGTATATTCATAGGCAGGCACAATTATACAATATGTTGAATTGGTAATGCAAGAGTTCAGGGAAGAACGGCACCACTCTACAGGAAGTAAAGTATTAACTTTGTTATTTTTATTAGCTGTAAAGCAAAACTGTAAGGACTTCTGTATAGTGGGGCCTCCAAGCTCGTTTTGAGTAGTTGCCAGTTAATGCATAAATTTGGCATGCAATCTGTAAGATCCAAAACTGGCTCTTGTTATAGGTGGAAAGAGTTTCCAGCATAAGTGACGAAAATACAGATAGAGAAATATTTTCCTAGTCCTTAGAGAGAGAGAGAGAGAGAGAACACGCACACAAGCCTGTGTGTGTAACAATAAAGAATAACCTGCTTAAATTTTAAGATAACTCAGGAAATCATCAAATCTAAAAAAAAAAAAAAAAAACCACCACCAACCCAAGAACTATACCTCCTTTACATTTGTGATGGAGAAAAAGAAATTGGTTCCTAAAGTTCTCAAAAAAAAATTGTACATTTCAAGATTTGACTTCCTGCCTCAGCCACCCTTCAGTACAAAAAACTTGAGCTAGTCTTCCTCTCGGAGGCTGCACAAAACATTGCTGCACATGGTGTCAAACCTTGGGACCAAAACGGTCATTTTCTTCTATCTCTGGCCCAACAAAAGGTAGGGGATGCTATCAGGGCAGAATGTTGAACTTTAAACAGAGAGGGGTGAACTTTGTATCACTCTACAACAACTCATTCTCAGGTGACGCAACATGGAATTTGCAGAATCCAGGGCCACCTACATCCAGCTCTCTTTGCCAGAATAAGACTGACATGATATGCAACCAGTGAGGAAGAAAAAAAAATGGGGGAAGCAAGGGAGAAAACAGTTTTTACTAGGAGCATAACACTAAAATACAGGAGCTGAAGTTAATAATGTCCATTGTCATTGAAAATCTAAACAAAAGTAAATTAGACCAAGAAATTGTTTACCTATGTCAAGTAGGGAACACAGCTTTTGTAAAGGGAACTCATGCTTCACCAATCTATTGGAATTCCTTGTGGGTGTCGACAAGCACATTTACAAGGGTGATTCAGCTGAGATAGTGCACTTGGACTTTCACAAAGATTTTGACCAGGTCCCACATCAAAGGCTCTTAAGCAAAGTAAGGTTAAAAGATAGGAAATATAGGGTAGGACTAAATGGTCAGTTTTCACAGTGGAGAGGTAAATAGCGGGGTCCCCCAAGGATCTATACTGGGACCTATGCTGTTCAGCATTCATAAGTGGTCTGGAAAATGGGGTAAACAGTGAGGTGGCAAAGTTTGCAGACGATACACAATTACTCAAGATTGTTAAGTCCAAAGCTGACTGTTAAGAGTTACAAAGGGATCTCACAAAACTGGGTGACTGGGCAACAATATGACAGAGGAAATTCAATGTTGATAAATGCAAAGTAATACACATTGGAAAGCATAATCCAAGTAGACATACAAAATGATGGGGTCTAAATTAGCGGTTACCACTCAAAAGAGATCTTAGAGTCATCATAGATAGTTCTCGGAAAACATCTGCTCAGTGTGCAGCTGCAGTGAAAAAAGCTAATACAATGTTAGGAACCATTAGGAAAGGGATATATAATAAAGCAGAAATTACAATACCACTGTATGAATCTATGGTGTGCCCACACCTTGAATAGTGTGTGCAGTTCTGGTCACCCCATCTCAAAGAAGATAAATTAGAATTGGAAAAGGTACAAAGGGCAACAAAAATAATTAGGGGTATGGAATAGCTTCCATGGGAGGAGAAATTTAAAAGACTGGGACTGTTCTGCTTAGAATAGAGACTACTAAGGAAGGATATGATAGACATCTAGAAAATCATGAATGACATGGAGGGGGGGAAAGTGTTATTTACCCCTTCACGTAACACAAAAAACAGGGGTCACCTAATTAAATTAATAGGTAGCAGACTTAAAAACAAACATAAGGAAGTACTTCACACAGTGCACAGTCAACCTGTGGAACTTATTGCCAGGCCAAAAAGTATAACGGTTAAAAAAAAAAAAAAAAATAGACACGTTCATGGAGGACAGGTCCAGCAATGGCTGTTCGCCAAGATGGTTAGGGACACAACCCTATGCTCTGGGTGTCTCCATATAAGACTGCAAGAAGGTGGGATTGGATGACAGGATCACTGAATAACTACTGTTCTGTTCATTCCCTGTGAAGCATCTGGCACCAGCCATTGTCAGAAGACAGGATACAGGAACACTGACCCAGTGTGGCCAGGCTTATGTTCTTAGGTTTTTTGTTTTTGTTCCCCCGCCCCCTTCCAGAAAAATGACATTTTCCCAAAGATGACCAGTTTACTTAAATAAGTTGATATTTTCAAAGTTTGAAAAATCACCTGAGCACATTTATGTGATGATGTATACTACATGCTGCGATCTCAAAATAGTTTAAGAGCTCATTGTGTAGTGTCATGAATGAGGACAATTACACAGTAAAAGATTTCCAGGCACAGAAAACAAAATCTGAATGCCAGTGGACATATATGCATTGTCCATCTACAGTTTTTATTATTAATTATTCTAAACTTTTGTCCATGCTCTTAAGGAGAGCCCAGAGATAATGTTTTCCAATATAAATCAATGGGAAGTACATAGTTGCTTTGCACTCCAAGAAAAAATACCCTTTCCTCCCCCAGGATAATTTAATTTTTTTCTACATTAATCTCAGTAGATTGTCAGTCTGGTAACATTTTTTTAACTGCAATTAGTTTTTTAAAAAAACGTATAGGGCCTAATACAACAACTGCAGGATCTTGTCCATGTTTATTAGTTGCAGTTACAATGCCAAGGCTGCTAATTATTCACCTTGATTCTGCTGAATTTCAATAAATGATTTTGTATAGAGGTCATACACAAAAAAGGTCTTGATTTTATTTTTCTACTCCATGAAAACAAATGACAAGTTACACTTCATGGTTATTACAGACACTAAATCACTTTAAAGCCAGTGCAGTATAGAACAATACTACAATCATAATATCTATTTGAAGATTAAATATGTACAGTTATTTTTAAAAAGCCAAAAAAACACTGAAGTAGAATACATTAGTGATTAAATATAAGATTATACAGTCTATATCTATAGCAGCTTCTTTCATGTCCAACTACTTCTTTTAACTAGTTAACTAGCAGCAACTTTGTCTAATGACTGTTAGACAGTTTATATTTTCAATCAGTAGATGTTTTCTTCCAATATTTCATGTAGACAGGTAACTGTCTGATCACATTAGCAAAAACAGAAGTTCTATTTAAATCTTAACTGATAATTATAGAAGTAATTAACATGTCACCACCTTTAAAAAATTCACGTACCTATTAGGGTGATTAGGAATTCTAGAGGAATCATTTTGTCCTTTTGTATTAGGAGAACAAAACAGATTGTATACCTTGCTAATATTTCTGCTCCATTATAGACTACAAATGCATGGAAATTTCCAGGAGGCCTGTCAGACCCAGGTGAAGACATTGGTAAGTCTCTGAACAATGTTTCAAATACATCAGCAGCATAAGCAGTGACAACTCCATTGAAGTCTACTGAGTTGTGCCCTCTGTTAGTTGGCTGACACAGAGGTATGTAGCCCAAAGTAGTTTTGCAGGATTACTCTTGTGATGGTCAATATCGGTTTAAAATTGGTGTCTGAGAGGTGGGGTGACATGATCCTGCATCCTAACGCAGACACTTCAGCAGAGGATACCTGATGCTTCACCATATTCAGGGTGAAAAGGCCCTTCATTTAAACACATTTTTCTACATTTTCACATAGAGCAGTGTTTGATTTTTAGGTTTATTTGACATTGTGTCATATGAACCCAAAGTGTAAGGAAGATGAATATGGCATAGAAATAAATGAATTAAAATACTTCAAGCACAGCCAGAAGCACCAGGTGATAAACTCAGCAATATTCTGAGTAAAAATTCCTGACACTCTGTTCCTATCTGTAACATGGGAATAACTACATGTCTTCTCCCACATTTTGTTTGTCTTGGCTGTTTAGACTGGAAGCTCTTTGGGACAGGAATTGTCCCTTACTATGTAAAAGTACATAGTACTAGCACAATGAGTCCCCGCTTTCAGCAGGAGACTCTAGGCACTATTGTATTACAAATAGTAATAATTACTCTTAAAGTAAAGGTGAGCTGACACTATGAGTTGAGGAAATACTTCACTTAAACTAATGTGATGTAGATGGTTGTTAATACTACAGTACTGCTGAAGTTCTGTTAAAGGGTTACAGGACCAATTAGTTCACAATACAGAAGTTTATGCAAAGGATAGGTTTAAAAAAAAAAAAAAAAAAAGACTGGAGGTTTTTCTGTATATAGGAGACAGTATGTAGGTTTTGGGTTCAAAAGTTACCTCCACGGGGCAGTACTACATTCTGCGCTCTTATGTTAATAAATTTTTCCTCACAATACTATTTCAGATTTTTGAGTATCATCTGCATAGTACTAATGAGTAAGATCAGGCAAAAAGAGATTAACTTCATTGCCGGAGTAATATAGAAACAACCTGGGAACAGGACCCACATGTGCTGACTCCTAGTCCTGCACCTTAGCCACAAATGTATTCTCTCCCTCAGTGTCCAAGGCCACAAACTCTACGGTTCATCATTACAATGGACAGGACAGTAGTTTCCCACTATACATCTCAACTTTGGGCTAGATCCACAAAAGGGATTTAGATGCCTACCTGCCACTTTAGGCACCCAACTCAAAATTTTAAATCCTCAAAATCTCTGCTCAGCTGTTACACCCTGTAGGCACCTAAAATCCCCAGGCACCTAAATTTCTGCCACTCAGCATGCATACAGCTGCATGAGGTTATAAGGAGGGGGGAGGTGGGACCACCATCTTTCCTCTCATTGTGGTTTTTGCTTTGTTGCAACAAAGGACTTATGCCCTTAACTCCAAGAGAGGGTTCAGAGCTGTGAATCAAGAGCAGAGAAGGACTCTCCCTCTGGCCCAGACTCAGGCACCTTGGTCCCTTTAAGGGGCAGGACTTAGGCCAGTGTGGCCCATCAGGGTAATCCACTGGTGGGCCGCCAGACAGTTTGTTTACATTTGCACGGCTGCCCACAGCTCCCAGTGGCCATGGTTCACCATTCCTAACCAATGGGAGCTGCGCGAAGCAGTGGCCAGCACGTCCCTGTGGCCCACATCGCTTCCCACAGCTCCCATTGTCCGGGAACGGCAAACCACGGCCACTGCGGAGCAGCAGGCGGCCATGCAAATGTAAACAAACTGTCTAGCGGCCCGCCAGCGGATTACCCTGACAGGCTGCATGCAGCCAGTAGCCCACCACTGACTTAGGTTATACCCTTTTCTTTGGCATTTCCTACTGGCTACATTAGGCAGCTACCTACTCATCTTGCTGGCTTTTGTGGGTCCCATTCTTAGGTGCTTAACACTCCTCATGTCTTGTACAGGGAGAGTGGACGCCTGACTTGGGGCTGTGGCTTCCACTAGAAGGCACGGTGCCTAAATGTTAGACTGAGCATTGCAATGCCTAAGTCCTCTTTGTGGATCTAGCCCTTCAGTCATTATATGCAATTTCATGTACTGCTGTAACATATTTCATAGATTCATAGATTCTAGGACTAGAAGGGACCTCGAGAAGTCATCGAGTCCAGTCCCCTGCCCGCATGGCACGACCAAATACTGTCTAGACCATCCCTGATAGACATTTATCTAACCTACTCTTAAATATCTCCAGAGATGGAGATTCCACAACCTCCCTAGGCAATTTATTCCAGTGTTTAACCACCCTGACAGTTAGGAACTTTTTCCTAATGTCCAACCTAGACCTCCCTTGCTGCAGTTTAAGCCCATTGACAGGTTTCAGAGTAGCAGCCGTGTTAGTCTGTATCCGCAAAAAGAACAGGAGTACTTGTGGCACCTTAGAGACTAACAAATTTATTAGAGCATAAGCTTTCGTGGGCTACAACCCACTTCTTCGGATGCATATAGAGTGAAACATATATTGTTAGTCTCTAAGGTGCCACAAGTACTCCTGTTCTTTAAGCCCATTTTTGCTTGTTCTAACCTTAGAGGCTAAGGTGAACAAGTTTTCTCCCTCCTCCTTATGACACCCTTTTAGATACCTGAAAACTGCTATCATGTCCCCTCTCAGTCTTCTCTTTTCCAAACTAAACAAACCCAATTCTTTCAGCCTTCCTTCATAGGTCATGTTCTCAAGACCTTTAATCATTCTTGTTGCTCTTCTCTGGACCCTCTCCAATTTCTCCACATCTTTCTTGAAATGTGGTGCCCAGAACTGGACACAATACTCCAGCTGAGGCCTAACCAGAGCAGAGTAGAGCGGAAGAATGACTTCTCGTGTCTTGCTCACAACACACCTGTTAATACATCCCAGAATCATGTTTGCTTTTTTTGCAACAGCATCACACTGTTGACTCATATTTAGCTTGTGGTCCACTATAACCCCTAGATCCCTTTCTGCCGTACTCCTTCCTAGACAGTCTCTTCCCATTCTGTATGTGTGAAACTGATTTTTTCTTCCTAAGTGGAGCACTTTGCATTTGTCTTTGTTAAACTTCATCCTGTTTACCTCAGACCATTTCTCCAATTTGTCCAGATCATTTTGAATTATGACCCTGTCCTCCAAAGCAGTTGCAATCCCTCCCAGTTTGGTATCATCTGCAAACTTAATAAGCGTACTTTCTATGCCAATATCTAAGTCGTTAATGAAGATATTGAACAGAGCCGGTCCCAAAACAGACCCCTGCAGAACCCCACTTGTTATGCCTTTCCAGCAGGATTGGGAACCATTAATAACAACTCTCTGAGTATGGTTATCCAGCCAGTTATGCACCCACCTTATAATAGCCCCATCTAAATTGTATTTGCCTAGTTTATCGATAAGAATATCATGCGAGACCGTATCAAATGCCTTACTAAAGTCTAGGTATACCACATCCACAGCTTCTCCCTTATCCACAAGACTCGTTATCCTATCAAAGAAAGCTATCAGATTGGTTTGACACGATTTGTTCTTTACAAATCCATGCTGGCTATTCCCTATCACCTTACCACCTTCCAAGTGTTTGCAGATGATTTCCTTAATTACTTGCTCCATTATCTTCCCTGGCACAGAAGTTAAACTAACTAATTTCATTTGAACTAATGCTGTTCCTTCAAATATTTATTACAGAATTTAGCTTTATTTGATGTTGCATGTATAATTTTGTGAAACATGCGCTTACATGTCAAACATTTATGTTTGGAGAGGCGTACATAATGCCATGAATATATGCTGTATACTTTGTACCAAAAAGGGAGTCTGGTTAGAGAAGGATTGAAAGGGAAGGGTCCAAGATAGAAGGGGACTTTGGAGGAACTTTTACATTATTGATAGGCAAAGAATGGCCAGCATGAGCATGGCTCCACTGTAGGAGTGTTGTACACAGGAGTGCCAGGGACACATCCCTCTAAAAAAATAGGTGAGGCTGTAGATGTTGTAGGGTGACAGTAAATAGGTATCAGAAAAACTGGGGAAAATATGTTCGTTAAAGTTCCCCTCATGCCCCTATTAAAATATTAAGATGTGATGCAGCAAACAGTTATTTTTATTACTATATTTTAACAGATATAAATTAATGAAGCATGAAAAATAACAGAACTTTATTTTTCCTTCATTTACATTAACCCTCAAACATTTAAGGGCCTACCTTTCAAAAATGTAGGAGTGCAGTTACCATGCTTGCAGATCAGTGTTTATTCACACGTACCAGTTTGCACAAGCAGCTGTGGTAGTTATGTGAACAAATTAAGCACTAAATTGCATGCATTTTGGGGCTTGCCAATTTTTGAAGCTCAAGACCTAAATGTTCCTTCCATTTTAACTTGTCATTTTAAAATATTTAAAAAAAATAAGGGAACTACAATAAGGCACTACCTTGAAGCAAAGCTCAAATCTAGACTGAAATCCCTGGTCTAATGATTTTAGCATGGTCTCTCTCAGCATCCCTGATTTCTATCCTTTTACTCCTTTCCCCCTTTAAGTCCAAAGAGTACTACACAAATACACTGTAGGGAGTTTGCTTCATTTCCACTTCTGTTCTAACCAAGGAAGACTGGATGAACGTTCCATTAGGACTTCCAGTGATTCCAGCCCAGAGGAGCCAGGCATGGTAATGGATCAGCCTGTCAGTAATCTCTACAACTGTGTCAGAGACATGGAGTCAGAGCGCTTCCGTGCCCTTCTCCTCCCCCCTCACTCCCCCGAGTTCTGTGTAGTTAATATTGTAATAAAATGTTCTGCAGACATATTTATATACTAATGCCCCCCTGCCCAGTCCTGCAAAGAGATGCTCATGTGTCAAGCTTTATTCATGCAACTAGTCCCATTAAATGCAATGCAGTTATTAATGTGCTAAACTTTAAAACACACATGAAGTGTTTGCAGGATCAGGGCCATTACCATATAAATGTTTATTGTCTATAAGAAAGGCTGTTAGAGATTTTGCTTATGGTTTGCTACTGTATGTCCTGAAATTATTTTCAGTGGTTTTAAAATCAAAATTTATATCTTCTGTACTTCTGACTTTTCAAGATGGTGGTTTGCAGGCAAGGGAGAATCACTAAAAGGTTTTTATTAAAATGAATGTAATTCTGTTAAATATAAACCAACATTCTAATTCCTAATTAACTGCAGCAAGTTGCCTTGCAAACTAGCCATGGGCATTTTACACCACAGACAAAACAGAGTCACCTCCCTTGCCATGAGGATTTAAAAAAAAAAAAAAATCTAATAATTCTATTTACCCATCCAAAAAATACTCCACCCAAGTGGGTTTGTAAAGTTTTGCAAGGCCTAGGAACAGCTAAATTTTGGCAGAAGAGGATATGAGAGCCCTCCTGGGATCTTTGATTTTGATTGCTGTTCGGAGGTAACTCTAGCTTTTGGTTAGTGGAGGGACTGGGTCTAAGCACTGAAAGAGTGAATAAGTTACCCTGCCAGCCATTAGCTGTTTTTAGACCCTGACTCAGCAAGGTTCTTAAAAATGTGCTTAACTTTAAACACACGTAGTCCCACTGACTTCAGTAGCACTATACCTGTGCTCAAGGACATTCCTGGACTGGGGCCCAAGTTAATGGATTTTTTTTCTCCATTCCTACTGATTTTTATAATGAGAAATGTAAGAGGTTTTTATCTCCTCTTGGTCAGTGTACAAAAGATTTACATATGCAAAGTTAATAGGAATTATCTGTATGAATTCCCCATGCATCAATAGATTTCATGGTATGTTAGCAAAATAATATAACTGAAATGTCATTATAGACATTTAAGGATAACTTTGCAAGGGTGAGGTCCTCCCTCATTCTGTAGGCCAGTTTGTTTGCACACTTTTACATCTGTAAGATAAATTGTGTACTTGTGCCACTGAACTAATTGATTTGTTCCCAGAATCAGATATAGTTGAAAGTGCTCAGATGCAACAGGAAGATCAGCCATTGAAAGTAAACCTAAAAATGTATTATTTAGGATCAAAGAGAACTGAAAATATTTAGCAAATATCTGTAGACAAGAGCTGGGTATACTGCATTGGTGCATCAGTTTCAGAGCTACCATACTTGTACAGTATTAAGGAACATTCATCATTTTGTAGGTTATCCACAAGAAAAGCAAAATAGTCCATTACAATTAGTTTTGTTCAAAGGGCCAAAAACTGAGCTTACTGTAGTGTTGGAGTGTATAGCCTTTACAGTCTCAAAAGGGTGTTACCATCAGCAATGCTTTATGAGTTGGAAATCTTTCACTATGAACAGTTCTTGAAATGTAGTCTCCTCTTACGTGTACTGTAGGAATATTTCTCTCCATCTAGGAAACACAGCAGTTCGAGAGGTTTTTGAAGAGACTGGCATTAAGTCAGAGTTCAAGTCCCTCTTAAGCATAAGGCAGCAACATAGGCACCCCGGACCCTTTGGGTTATCAGATATGTATATCATCTGTCGCCTGCAGCCTTCCTCATTCAACATCAGCTTCTGCCAGCAGGAATGCTTGAGGTGCGAATGGATGGATCTTGAGGAACTTGCCAAGACTAAAGACACTACTCCCATCACCAGCAGTGTAGCTAAACTGCTACTTTATGGATACAGAGAAGGGTTTGATAAGATTGATATAACCATGAGAGAATTTCCAGCTGTTTACACAGGCCTATTTTATAAGCTGTACCATAGGGAGCTGCCAGATACTTATAAAAACATGACAGAATTCTAATAAGCTTCACATTTCATTAAATTCATAATTTAGAATTGATTGTTTTAAATTGTGGGCTTACTTGTACCATATTAAAAATATTCCTGGACTTTGTTCTTGCTGAATTCAATATTTACTTTTTTTATTTTCTAGTAAGATATATAGATATATATATTATTTCTTTTAAAAGGTAAATATTCCTGTAAATGTGTGCACATCTTTAAGTTTCCTTTACACTGCAAGGCTAACATAAGGCTAATATAGTAGCTCTAACTAGAGGAAAATACGTGAAGCACGGATACTGAAGTTTCTATACATTTTCCTGGTGCTTTTTCCTCTGGACACTGGCACAATTGTTTCAAAACATACAGTAACATCAAGGTTATATTATACAAACATATTTAGTAATCAGACATCTGCAAAAGCAGTTATCAAATATTTGCTCACACTTTACTACTTTTTGAAGGAGTGGAGGAAACTACCACTTTAGTGTGTTGTGGCATAGACTATAGAATCTACCACTGAAATCAGCTCTTGGCAGACATTGGAAGAAAAAGGATAGCTTTCTGCCCTGGTCCAGTTTTTGGTCCAAGTTTGTACTGTCCAGTTCTTTTCAGTGCCACATACCAATCAGAATATTTCCGTGACCGGTAAGTGTTGTAGTTGTTTGATTCCAAGCGCTCAAAAAAGAAACATTCTTCCGTTACACATTTCTGAAAGGGAAAGAAAAAAATGTTATTCATATTCATCCCCTCTGGCATAACAAATCACTCCCTTAAATACATGGGAGTGCCTATTAATGAGAGGAGTTAGTTGGTGATTAAAGTTATTGGTATCACAGTATTAGGGAGATTTTCAGAAGATATTCTTTTCTGAAGAACATAGATTTCAAGGAATTCATATTCAACATACTTTTGTGTTTAAAAATACATGCAAGTGATTATCAATAAACTCCTAAAGGAGATGCGGTTGGTGTGAACCACTGGATGATTTTTTGTAACAGCCATTGAGCTAGATAAAGCTCAGAGTAAATCTGTCTTCATACTATTTATTTCTTTGTTCCTTTCCACCATTTATAAAAAATGAATGAAGAATCCTGTCTGCTGCAATTATTGATAGCTCCTGATTTCCAAGCCAGACAATTCAGCTATCCCTCTTGCCTAGTTACAACAGGAGAAAAAGTATGAAGTGGGTCATTTGCCCTGACAAATATTTTCATCAACTGGTCAGAAATAGAATATTAGAGGTCCAGCCTAGGACCAAACTCTTCTGTTTGTATGGTTTCTTTTAATTTTCTTGAAGCCAAATCCTATGGTACTATTGTGCAGGAACAAAAATATTAATAGTAGTGAGCCTATTCTGTTACCGGGATGATGATAATAATAAGATTTCTTTAAGAAGAAAAAATTAAATCTAATGAGTGTATCCCCATGTGGAAATCATATTTATTCTATCCATTGTTACAGGGGAACCTAAGCCAGGAAAAACGTTCATGTTAACTAAAATTTTACTCCATTTCAAATATGTTCCACAATATGCTTTGCAATGTGCATTTCAGACTCCAGAAAAATGCAGTTAGTCTCTAACTCTATAAAGGGAAATCAATATTTCCCAATTGTGACACCGATTATCAGCCTCAATAGCTGATAACATCTAGGTAGAGAGAAACTTTAAAGTACATTTTCCTCATCTAAAGCTAAATCCTACTTGACAGTAAATCCTGCCTGATTTATTTCCTGAAGGATTTACACACACACACACACACACACACACACACACACGAGTTATTTTAGTTTTTAATGTATAAGCAGAAATTCCCAAATACACATATACCTTCAAACCAATTACTGCAGTTTTACTTCATTCTAAAGAAATTAGTTATAGGAAATACTGGGAACTTGTTGAAGTCCAGTGGTGTCAGACACATGCCATATAAGAGCTTGAATACATGCCATCGTCCACTCCCTTATTTGTTCCTGACAGCCAGATTATAGAAATATTTTCATCAAATGATGTAATTTTCACCTTTAGAATTCAATCTACATTGTTTAGAATTAAATAAGCTATGACCCTCAAATTTCTAGTAATTTTCTAATGCTAAACACAAACAGCCCCTTCCCTGCTGTTCCTCCCTCCCAAACACACACACACTTTACCCATTTTTACTGATGTAGAACAACGCAATCAATACATTTGTTATAGATTTTTCTGCAAGGGCTAATCATTTTGTCAGAATAATGCATCTCACTTCAAAAGGAATAATTTAATACAATTTTGACTTTAAAAAGCAAAAATACTTTAGATTGTAAGATCTCTGGGGCAGGAACTTTGTCTACTCCCGGGGGAATTCTGCACCACTGCACAAGCACAGAATTAGGAGGTGAAGGGAAGCAGTGATAGGGATCATGCTGCAATTACACTTTTCACCCACCAGGGGTGGATATGGGACCAGAAGAGGGCAGTTGGCTCACAAGCCAGAGCAACTACCTAGCTGCAGAGAGGAAAGGGGCAGAGGCTGCCTTCCTCAATGCCTTGCCTGCGGGGCCAGAGGAGGCACAGGGGGGAAGAAGGGAAAAGAGCAGGGAACACAGGGCTGCTAGGGGGAGATCACAAAGACTGGGGTTCAGAAGAGCTAGTGGGGGGATAGATGGGTGGGGCACAGGAGTTAGTGAGGTGATAGAGCCAGGGGATGAATGGGAGTAGGGGTGCAGGGCCACATGGGGACAGGGTCAGAGGTGGGGTCTGCATGGGGGAGACTCCCCAGCCTCCTAACAACCCCCCCCCCCAAAAAAAAAAAACCTGTTCCATATTTCTCCCATCCACACCCAACATTCCTCCTAACTCCCAGGCTCCTTCCCAGCAATTACTTCCCCCTCCCTCAGCTCCTCCATTACCCCTGACTCCCCCAACCCTTTGGGTTGCTTCTGAGGGGTGTGAAAAAGTTGTTTCTGTATTGCAGTTTAAATGAATGATTACTCAGAGTTCTGTATTAATATGCCTAGTAAGTAATTATGTTAAAAAAACATTTTCTGATTTTTTTTCTTGTCTGTACTGTTACAGACATACTTGCTGACGGGTATTTTGAAATAAATTAACAAAATAATTGAAAGTGGCATGATTATATTGTGTTATTTTGACAAATAAAATATGCAGAATTTTAAAATATTGTGCACAGAATTTTTATTTTTTTGGTGTAGAATTCCCCCAGGAGTAATGTTGTGAATGTTCTCAGTGGCCAACAAAAAATATTAAATCATATAACATAGAACAGTTGTTTTTGGAACAGAAGGCCCAATTATTCGCACAGCTGTGGGCAAAGGGCCACATGTGGTGGCGGCGGCGGTAACACCTTTGTGGCATGCTACCCACCTTTCCTAGACCTGCAGTGGGTTCCTGGATCTGAATATGGATCCTGATTCAGCAACATCTATGCTTACATTTTAAAGTATATAAATAGGCCAATTGACTTTAAAGATGAGCATTCTTATGTGCTTTCCTGAGTAGGAATGGAATTACTCACATGTTTTAGTCCTTTACGTAATCAGGCCCACAGTGAAGAAATAGAGCTACATGTATTATTCCCCCTTCAAGACTCACAGATCCAAAGATTAGGCAGCTGTAGGTTTAACCACCTTCCTCCCCCATTTCTTCATTCCTGCCTCAAGCACAGGAACTGAGAATCAGATATCAGAGCTCATATTTGCCAACCATTACTGAAATACTAGGATGCTGAAGTGTACACACATTAATATCTTTACATTGACTTGTTTCAATTAAATGAATGAGCTTGGGGGAGCCAAAAGACTCACCCATTTTGTCCTTCCTTCCCATTAACTCCCATGGAATCCCCTGTCTCCCCAGCCTGTTCCCAGGAACTCATTTCCCCATTCTGTCTCCATCACCTCCCTCACACAGAGCTTCTGAAAGCGGTAATATTATTTATGTATGATACTACCCATTATGTGCTAACCACATTCCAAGCACCCAAGGATAGTACCGTCTCCAAGGAGCTAATACTCTAAGGAGAGACAGACAAGCCAACACTGGGAAAAGGAAAGAACAATGTACAGTACAACCTGAGTTATGGAGGTTGTTTGTAACTCTGAACAAAACATTATGGTTGTTCTTCCAAAAGTTTACAGCTGAACATTGGCTTAATACAGTTTTGAAACTTTACTATGCAGAAGAAAAATGCTGCTTTTAACCATTTTAAATTAAATGAAACAAGTAGAGAAACAGTTCCCTTACCTTGTCAAATCTTTTTTTTTTTACGCTTCCCCTTCATTTTTTTTAGTAGTTAATGTTTAAACACAGTACTGTACTATATTTGCTTTTTTGGGGTCTCTGCAGCTGCCTGATTGCATACTTCAGGTTCCAAATGAGGTGTGTGGTTGACTAGTCAGTTCATAACTCTGGTGTTCGTAACTCTGAGGTTCTACTATATGTACAGATCAACTAGTTTCACTGTAAATAGCACAGAAATAGGTGGGTCCTTTACTCCTGCCTAAACCTGTACATCATGCTCACCAAATCGAAGCAAAGTGCACCCTGAAATGTGTTTTTCTTTCAAGAGCCTTAAGAGTTAGTGGCTTATTGTTGAGAGAGATTACATTCTTGATTGCCTTGAAAAAAAACCTACAAGCTCTCTTTAGAGCCAGTAAGTTTTTATCTTTCACTTGACGAAGTTTAAGAAATGCAGCTAAAGATTCCATGACTCACGTTTCCAGGAAAGCATGGGTTTCCTGTGTCACCAAGATGCACGCCATCCCTGCAGTACAAAGAGTGATTTGTAGTGATCTTCTGATGCCAAATATTTCCCCACTTCCATATTTATCTAGCATCTGGAATTATTAATTGTTCTCATCTTCTTCAAACTCCAGAAGAGAAAAATCACTGAACTCCTGTACCAGCCAATCCACTCCCATACATCTTCTGCTGCACAACTTTACACATAGCAGAAGCCCCTGCTCCCTCAGGACCTGAGTTTGCCACCATCACTTGTGTTGAATAGTACCTTACTCTACAAATAATTCCACTGATGTCAAAGGATCTAGTTGAGTACACGAGTAAAGGCATCAGAATTTAACCCTTAGATTCTGCATGTTTGGAATTGTTTCACTGGGATCTTTAAATTAGCCACTGCTGGACTAGGTAGGTTTTAATGGCTGTTAGTAATAAGGAGAGAACTGGTAGATTTAGTGTTCCTCTGGATCTCACCAGAGAGGAAAAACACCACTATATTTCTCCACTTCAACAAAGGGAGGGGGGAAAAAAACTCAGATATTTTATTGGGAGACACTAATTTCTCCTCCTATATTTAGCTGAACTGCAGCCACACTGTGCCTCTCAGTTAACCTTTTGGGCCCCACTAGCATTGACCCCTGTACAAAGGCAGAGAGCCATTGTGCTGGGGTTCATTTGGTTGCAGGATTGTCTCCTTAAAAAGGGGCGGGAGGAGATCTCAAAAGGAAAGAGCTAAAATAGAACAGAGCATTGATTTAGAGAAAGAGCTACTTCCTTTTCATATCTCAGCCGTATCACATTCAGTCACATACATTTACTCTATGAAAAAAGTTCTTCAAATGACAGAATAAGCTAATAATTAAAAGGAAAGTGTGTCAGAAATCTTGGACGGGAATCAAAACAAATAAACCAAAATACATCCTAAACAGAGAGCCCATCTGCCAAGTTAGTTACCAACAGAACTGCTGTA